GGGCACCGTAGCCAGCCCATGCCCCTTTAAGGGCTCCGGGGCCGGGAGGGGGGCAGAAGAGTTTCTGTAGCGGTGCCCAGAGTGGCCACCAGGGAAAGCTGGGGAGGGCTAGCCTCCCACTAGTTCGAATTAAGTGGCTACACAGCCCTTAATTCGAACTACTTAATTCGAAGTACGTGTTAGTCCTCCTAGAATGAGGTTTACTTAGTTCGAATTAAGCGCTCCGCTAGTTCGAATTAAGTTCAAACTAGCGGTTTGCCTGTGTAGTGCCTATCAAAGTTCATTCGAACTAACGTCTGTTAGTTCGATTTACCTTTGTAGTGTAGACATACCCAGGGTGGTTAAAAACTGGAATGAATTGCCTAGGGAGGTTGTGGAAACTCCATCACTGGAAATATTTAAGAGTAGGTTAGATAAATGTCTATCAGGGATGGTCTAGACAGTACTGGGTCCTGCCATGAAGGCAAAGGACTGGACTTGATGACCTTTCGAGGTCCCATCTAGTCCTAGTATTCTATGGTTCTATGGCTAGAGCCTGGGATTTTGCTTTAGTTCTAGAATAGAAGCCCTAGAGATATTGTTAGTTGGTGAACTATTTTGCTGAACTTGTAATTCAAACTTAATTAGTTAATTTACCTTTTAAAGACATTAAAATCTCAAACTGATCTTAAATGGTGTTTGACCTATACAAAATGCTGACTTTCTGGGAGTTTTGGGGTGCATATTTCTGCATCCTTTAATGCACTACCCCTAATTTCCATTGCCTTCATTTGCCCCTTAAACTGTCTAACTTAAACTTGAGCTCCCCTTCACCTACTTGTATCAAAATCCTCATCTTTCCTCCTTTCAGCGCTTTATATAAAGCATATAGTGGGTTTATACTGAGTAGTGGTAGACAACCTGCTGCCCGAGGGCCACATACGGCCCATTAGGGTCCTATGTGTGGCCCACAAGACATCTTGCTTCCCATTGCCCATGCACGGGTTTTCCAAATTCCATTGGTTTTCATCTGTGTCATTTTTTCTCTACTGGCTTTACTAACATGACCCGCACATAAAGCAAGGGGACATGAAGTGAGGTGTGTGCTGATTACAACATTCTGTTGAAGAGCTGCTGTGGTTCAATGGGCACACAGTCCGAGGGCTGCAAGTACAGTTAGTAAAACTGCTGTATCCTGGGACATCATCTTGTTACGACAATCTTGTGATCCACTGAGATGAGAGAGGGCCACCCACACGGCCCACTCACTAGCCTAGGTTGCCCCTCACTGTACTGAGGTCAACAGTTTACTCGTCTGACTGGTCCAAGGAGAAGTTTGTCATTTTGCCTGTGTTCTGTTTGGCATTCTTAGGCCAAGTCTATGCTGCTGGAGAAAATCAATGCAAGATATGCAACTCCAGCTACGTGAATTGCATAGCTGGAATCAACATACCTTGCATCAATTTTCCTGGGGCAAGGGTTTACAATTTAATTATGAGACAAGAGATGGGGTGTACAGGAAAACGTGGCAGTGTTTGTGAGTATGATGGGCGGTGGTGTGTATGCTACTTTCCATATTATTTATTATTCATTCTCTATGCACCTCTGATCTCATGCCTTTCTGTGCATCCCCTGAGAGAATCACAGAAGTGTAGGATATCCTGTTACGCTACAAAAGAAGAATTTTGCACTTCTATTCAGGAAAATAGTCATATAATGGGTATTTATAATAAATGTAGTTTGGGGTTGTCCTCAGAGAGTCAGCAGTCAATTCCAGACCTCCCCTTCAATGGTCAGGCCCTGTTTGTGGTAGGGATGTAAACTCCCATTTGATTAACTGGTTAAACATAACGTTTAACCAGTTAATTGATTAATTGATTAAATGGGATGTGACATCCCTAACAGGAGCAGACCTGCAGGTCCCCTTGCCCATAGGAGACTTGTCGAGTCTACCCCCAGACAAGGGGTGGGAAAATGAAGGGCTAGCCCAGGGGTGGGCAGTAAGTGCCCTGCAAGCCATACACAGTTTGCCAGGCAGGCTACCAGATGCTTTATTTACCTGCACGTCTGCCAGGTACAGCCGCTCGCTACTCCCATTGGTTGCGTTCATCATTTCCGGGGAAGGGGAGCTGCTCTTCAGACAACGGGAGCTGCAGACTTGCTGCCAGCCATGCAAGGACTGACCCTGGTCATCTACATCTGGCCTGAAGGCCGCTTATTCCACCCCATCCCCCCCCCCCGCTACCCTGGCGGTCGAAGCCCCCGTTTTCCCCCCCCCCCCCCCCCCCCCGCTACCCAGGCTAACCCCTCCCCTTCCTGCTGGAGCTTACTAGCAACCTGTCCTCCCAGGCAAGCTTCTATGTTCCCACCTGCTCCAGGCGGAGCACATGCTGTAGTTGCAGCTAACTAACCAGTACTGTCTGAATGCAGGAATGTCTGTCAGCCTTTCTGTCAGTGGAATGAGGGCGGGTCCATCACAGGGCTCTGTCTGGCTGTTGTCTTCTGTACTCCCCTTCCTGCTGGAGCTTACTAGCAACCTGTCCTCCCAGGCAAGCTTCTATGTTCCCACCTGCTCCAGGCGGAGCACATGCTGTAGTTGCAGCTAACTAACCAGTACTGTCTGAATGCAGGAATGTCTGTCAGCCTTTCTGTCAGTGGAATGAGGGCGGGTCCATCACAGGGCTCTGTCTGGCTGTTGTCTTCTGTAGTTTCTGGCCCTACCAGCCTTTTCCCCTGTAATGAGGCCTGAAGATCTTCTTTCTCTCCTCATCTGGCACCAAATGAGGTGAGCTCTCTTTCCTCAAAGCTGGGGACCTGTTTTCAGGACTGGGTTGTTTGGGCCCCAGCAACCCATTAACCCTTTCCTGACTCGTATTAGGCTACGGCTGTCATGGAGTGTACAAATCCTGCATTGTTTGTTTTTTGACTAGTGCTGTACATTGAGTAGAAGTCTTCCCTGAGCTGACAAAAGTGACATCCAGGTCCTTTTCCTGAGCTGACACAACTAGTTGAGGTCTTGCGTGACTTCGTTGCTGGACGCTACTACCTGTCTCTTTGAGATGGACCCTGGATTTCTATAGCTGTAAGCAGCTCTCAAGAGGGAGAAGAGTCTTTAGGTTCCAGATGTGCAGCCGGGGCCAGAATAGGTAGGACCAGATGTTGGGTGGGGGAATTGCTTTGCCATTCCGTTTATATTCCACCCTAACTACATTGGTCTCATTAGTGCAGCCACACTCCTGGCCATTCCCACAACCCACCAATGCCACACCTCTCTGTCATGAACACAGTTGCATCCCTTGGGCTTTCCTCTTCCAGAAGCTGTGGCTGGGGATTACAAAAGAAAAGAAAGGAGAAGTGCGATGGGCAGGCTTTGCAATTATTTTCTGTAGCTTCATGATCATTGATCGATTAACAGTCATTGCAAGTTGGACGTTATGGGAGATAAGTGTATGTTTGTTCTGAGAGCACAGCTACTGTACTAGTCCACTGCACTGTAATCCTATTTCAGCTAGAGGTCTGCTTTATGAGTCATCAGACTAAAGGAGTGCATTACCTGAGCCCGGCTTCATGGTGGATTCACACTTCATTGAAGCTTTTCATCCATGCACCGAGTTATGACTTGCCATAGGCTTTGAGAAAATGCTTGGAACGCCCTGCATAAAAAACCCAGTGTTAGATAAGCTCCTGCAGCACAGAGGACTCTGTGTGTCAGTACCTATACATTATGGAGTGACATGGCTATAAAATTCAAGTTCTGAGAACTACTCTTTTCAGGATGATTGGTACTCAGAATTAATAGGTCTCACAGGTGAAAGCACAGTTCAGCAGTAGCCAAAATCATCCCTGCTTTGTTTTCAGGGATTCTTATAATTTTACTATCTAGGCTTCATAAGATCACATAGAGAAAAAAATATTTCTTCCTCTTCTTACGCTAAGAGCCATACTTTTAGCTTTTCATGTGAAGTACGAATAGCTAAACCCATTATTATATTGTAATTCATATAGTATTTCTGATATGAAAGCGTGAACACTTAAGCAACTATGGGGAAGAAAGGTGGGTGTGAGCTAGAGAAATAAACTGAGGTCTCCCTGAAAATGATATGCTACATGAATATTTTATGTCCTTTTAATGAATATGAAACTATTGTTATCACTAAGGAGTGAAAAGAGGCACTAAACTGCCTCTGATTTCCATTCTGGAAGCCTTTCTTTTGCCTATGCTTTCAAAAGAAGCTCTATATTTTTAATGGATTTGACAAAATATTTACTTGCATTAATTAGAACAACATCTTACTACTGTATCTATCAAGCATGCAAGACTCGAATTCAGTTGATCAAATTTAATATACACATGTTTTAAAGAACAGAGCAGGAAAGATATCAAAACAGAGTATCTGTTCTGAAATGTGCATAGCCTGTAATGAAATCATAAATATTCAGCGTGGGCATAGTCAGAAATGATTACAGAGATATGAGTATTCACACCAAAGCTGTCTCCCGCTCTGTCCTCTCCAGCTGCTGTCATCCTGTCATCTTCCCAACTCCGCCTCGTTGTGGAACTTTGCGGCATGGTGCCAGCAGTAAAGCATTATGACGTCAGTAACCTGAAAGGTAATGGAATGAAACAGGGAATTTTTTAAGATCATGTTTGAAAAATACTATTTTCTCCTGGCCTAGAAGCCATATAAATTTAGAACAAAGTTTGAAACACATGGGACCAACCTCAGTGTGAAGTGGTGTATGTTCTGTGTCAATAAGGGTGAGTCTAGACTGTAGCACTATTTCGGGATACAGACAGTATCCTGAAATAGCATTTTCTGCATCTTTATAGCACACTCAGGCTATGTCTAGACTGCAAGCCTCTTTCGAAAGAGAGCGTCTAGACTGCACGTTGAACTTTCGAAAAAGCGGCTTGCTTTTTCGAAAGAAAGCATCCAGTGAGTCTGGATGCTCTCTTTCGAAGAAGCACTATTTACATTGAAGAACGCCTTCTTTCGAAAGAGGAACTTTCGAAAGAAGGCGTTCTTCCTCGTGAAATGAGGTTTACCGCCATCGAAAGAAAAGCCGCGTTCTTTCGATTTAATTTTGAAAGAACGTGGCTGCAGTCTAGACACAGGTGAGGTTTTTTCGAAAAAAGGCTACTTTTTTAAAAAAAAACCCTGAGTCTGGACACAGCCTCATTATTTCAAAATGCAGTTGAAATAATGGGCGTGCTAGTCTGATGTCTTGGCAAACCTTGTTCCACGAGGATTAAGGGACTTGTCAGAATAGTGCTCTATTTAAATTTCAAAATAAGCTGAGCTGTCCAGGACCAGGGAATTAGCTGGACCAGGGAAGGTCAAGGCTCCCCACTGACGGCTCCTTTCTGGGGCTCCCAAGGCTGGGGCTCCCAGCCCTGCTGCTGCCCCACTAAAACTGGCCCAGTTGAGGCTCACCCACTCTGCTGCCCGCCAGCTACCTTGGGTGTTCCCAGGGGTTCCCCAGCCAGGGCTGCCTGCTTGCTGCCAGATCCACTACCTCCAGCAGCTCCTCAGGGTTTCCCAGCACAGGGCTGCCTGGTTGTCACCAGCCCTGCTGCTGCAGCCCAGTGCGGCAGCTGCCGAGGGTTTCCCGGGGTTCTCCTGCTATTGCTGGTCCCACTGCCAGGGGCTCTCCAGCTGCCTGACCCCACGGACACTGGGAGTTCCTCACCTAGGGAAGAGGCTCCCCGATGCTGGCTGGCCCCACTGATGCTGGGGTTCCCCTGCTGAGCCAGGACTCCCCGGCTGCCGCCTTGGCACACTGCCAGGGTTCCCCAGCCAGAGCTCCTGAGCTGCTGCCTGGGCCCGCTGCTGCTGGGGGTTTTCTGATCAGGGCTGCCTGACCATCCCAGCCCTCTGCTGCCAGGGGGTTTCCCGGCTGTCACTGGCCCTGCCTTTCCAGCTGCCTGACCCACTGAAGCTGGGGTTCCCCTGCCTAGCCACCGCTGGCCCAGTAGGGACTCTTCAAACCCCATGTTCTCTCATCTGGCTCCTGCTCCTGGGCTCTTTGGTCCAGGAATATCCGTGCTGGACCACAGATGTTGCCGGACAAGAGAGTCCCAGATTTGGGAGGTGCAACCTGTAGTCCAGTTTGGCTTTCAAATTACATGAAGAGCTGTTAACAACAACTTCTAATGAGAGACTGGTTCAAAGTGACTATTTATACAGTACCCCCACAATGGTAGCAACAAGAAAGGAATCTCATGGCCTGGGAATTCAGATGATAACAAATTGCCACTGTCTTAGAATAAGGTCTTCAAACATCTGGGAGAATTGTTACTGCCATCTGTAGAGACTGAGTAACTAGCTGAAGACTAGAGTGGTCCCTGCCTGCTTTCAAATTTCTGCAACATGTGCAAACCTGCTTCTGAGTGAATGACTGTGGTGAAAGTAAGAAAGGGTATGTCTACACTACAGCGCTAATTCGAACTAACTTAGGGTATGTCTACACTAGAAAGTTAGTTCGAACTAACGGACGTTAGTTCGAACTAACTTTCCTATGCGCTACACTAGCGCTCCGCTAGTTCGAATTTGAATCGAACTAGCGGAGCGCTTAGTTCGAACTAGGTAAACCTCATTTTACGAGGACTAACGCCTAGTTCGAACTAGCTAGTTCGAACTAAGGGCTGTGTAGCCCTTTAGTTCGAACTAGTGGGAGGCTAAGGCTTCCCAGGTTTCCCTGGTGGCCACTCTGGCCAACACCAGGGAAACTCTATGCCCCCCTCCCGGCCCCGGACCCCTTAAAGGGGCACGGGCTGGCTACGGTGCCCGTGCCAGGTGCAAGCCTGCCAGCACCCAGCTAGCAGACCCTGCACCTGGCACGGCACAGAGCCACCCACCCGATGCCCCCCAGCCCACCCCCTCTTGCCGGGACCAGGCTGGCGGCTCCCGGGAGCTTGCCCTGGACCGCAAGAGGCGGGCACCTTCCTGGGCTAGTGCGGACATCGTGGACCTCGTCCACGATCTCCGCACTAGGCACAGGAAAGTGGCCGTCTAGGGCAGGAGAGCTGCCAGCCTGGCCACCCAGGACCAGGTGTGCATGAAAATCAAGGGGGTCCACTGAGACCCCCGACCCTGAGCCCTGAGCTTACAATGGCCGTACTGGGTCAGACCAAAGGTCCATCTAGCCCAGTAGCCTGTCTGCCGACAGCGGCCAACCCTAGGGACC